GAGGAAAACATGAGTATTATGTGGTGTAGCGTGTTTGTACGATAAGGTGACCTCAGGATGTTGATGGGTGTGCAAGGGGCATGCGGTCTTCGTATCCTAGGTCTCAAGTCCATAGCGCTTGGTCTAATGACCGAACATTGTACACGCCTATTGAGCTTGAACCTCACCGCAGCCAGTAAAGCATTTGTTCGCAGAAGCCTGCTCCCAAGCCATCGATGTACACAATACGCCCTCATTACAGGCAATAGTGATAACTGAGCAACTAGTGATTTAATTTTATAGCAGTAAGACTCCAGCCTCAGCTTAGACACAGACTGGAAATTGTGGACAACGTGATTTGCTAGGTATCTGGTGAGTTAGCCATTAGAAGTGTTTGATCTGGTATCCTACATAGAAGAGTATCCGACTGGTAATTGATTACACATTTTTCTTTTCGTGATCCCTGTCTGGTGAAAGCGGCTTACTGAAGTTGTGAACTGAACTGACTATACAATGCATTTGTACCGGCGCAACCAGTAAATAGAAACATGATTCGCCAGGGGTTGCTGCGTATTTTTCGGACTTAAGTATGGCAGAAGGAAACGTATGGATACGGAGGACCGCTGTTGGTCGTTGGATTAGTCTATTAGTTAGAGTAGGTACCTTGTAGCAAACAGTGCACATGGGTATGGGCCCGGCAGTGACTCTATTCAGTCATAGTAGGCGATATCGAATAAGGTCACGAGTGTGGCGAGCCATCAGTAGCTACTAGATTGGATTGCCGCGCATAGCTAAGGCCTCATAATCAATGCCGTAAATGGACATGAGCCTAGCAGTCACGATAAGTAGTCGAGGTCAGTGACATCGCATTCAGTTATTGGTAAGAATGACTGAAGTTGGCCATTAGATTAGGTAACCGTTCGTAGGTGAGGCTTCGTTATCAGCGCCGCACATACATACAGGCCTGGCGTTTGCCATAACTGGGAGGTGAGGGACAACGGCTACCGTTATCGTGATGACCCCTTCATGACGTATTCCGACTATGCGGCGTCATATTCCTAACATGAATGGTACCATTTTGTCGTCAATTTAAACACAGTTATCTCTTGATGCTGTGTTGTCCGTAGGCTTGTTGGGCATATCTGGGAAGGATAATAATCCACAGAGCTGGTCCTCGCATTCCCAATGCACAATTCATGCGGTTGTCTAACAATGCTGTGCCTAATGGAAGCCAAGCTACATAATGCTACATGTGTTGTGACGAAGTACGCCATATAACACAATCACATTTGATAAATCTAAGAAGTGTAAAGCAAACATAAGCGAATGACCGATTTCTTCGGACGGGATTGGCATTTATCATTCTGTGGATGTAGATGGAGAGGTCCTAGGTATGACTGAGTGTGACTCCATGTCTTAGCCCTCCAAAAGGTAAAATAAGAATCAACAATGTTACGTGACTGAAATTTCGCTCACTCAAAACAAAATGCTATGCCAGTCGTAGCACCAAAACGTGCAAACGGATTAGACGAACTCAACTTGAAAGTCATAACTTCGAAAATATTATAATTCAGGCGAAAATAATTTGATCAAGACTCTGGTGATTTGGCTAGTCGAAATCTACTGAAAGATCTGGGCGACTAGGGATCTCACAAGACGATTGTGGCTATTATATTATACACAGTAGAAGCAGACATCACCCTAGCTGCAACAGACATCAAGTTTTTCAAACTGTGTGTATTAATGCATATTATCACATTTAATATCCCCTCAAACTCACTGTTTTGCGAATCTCAACCCATTCCCTCACTTTCCCAGGCTTTGAACTTCCGAAGTGCCATTTTGGACGACCTGGTTAGCTGATATCCACTTCACCTGGCCTATGATCTACAACCCTGGGATCACCAAGCGGACCAAGAAAACCTACAATCCCATATCGGTTTCGTTCCAGCTTGTTTCCTCGACCAGGATGAAATGAATACCCCTGCCCAATGAATTGCACATCCCAGCCGAATCAGCTCAAATGTGACGTCCGTCAAAAGGCTGTCCAAAAACTCAAGCATGTCAGGCCAATGATAGAACGGAACTGCCATACTCAGTTTGATAGCACTGTTGCAAATTCATATATATTTAAAATTATCTCCAATCTTGAATGACTGCCTTCCCGGTTAACAATTCAAATGGACCGCCCCTTTTTGGACTGGTGGAATTGAACTCTATTTCAGTTTTACAAGATATCTATATTTTCCGTTTTCCTTACCGCGCAAATCGTTTTTACCGCTTTGATTATACTAGTTTTGTACCAAAACCTCGTGTAGCTATATATTGTTTTAATTCATGAGTTCGAGACGCGGTTTCGGTCACGCGTTGACTGTTGATCCATATCGGCTTTGCCTGCCTTTTGGAGTACCTCACCGTTTGTCGAAAACCGTTGAGGTTTGTAATTTTGCATTCCGTGTAACTACTTTCATTTTTATAGTACAGCACATTTGCGTAGCCATTCGTTCGGAGTTTTGCCGGTTTGGTTGCTAGCCTTGGTGCTCGTTGCTCAAGAATTCGAAACGGTCGTTAGAAGCACACCCGCAACTGTTCCAATCCTCCTCCCAACCGAGCCCTCTTGCTTACTCTTTTCATTGACCCCATCTGCCACCATGACATTCCTTCCGTTCTGTTAGACTACTCGTTCTAATTCAAACACCTCTGTGTCCCCATCCAACCAAACCCCTGCACCTGACTTCCCTACAGCAGTACAACCAGTGAGCCTGCTTGTGCTCAGATTGCACCATATTTTTGAGACTAAAATTTCAATGTTCTCCCAATTCGAGTTATCTCATCTCCTCCTCCACTTTTGCTTGTTGCGACTCCAGCCATTTACCGAACCGCCCAAGGTCACTCATGGCCAGAAATGGTTTTCCAGTTTTAGTTCATATCAGCCGACCGAATCTTTGAATTATTCGGACCTCAGGTCTATTGTTAGGTACAAGTTGCGAAAGAAACATTATTATTATTATTATTTAATCGAGCACTTCCCACTGTTTATGACATTGTCCCCTTTTCGCGCAATCCCCACTACCCGTAAATCCCCCTCTCTTACACCTCCTTGACTGTAAACGCATGATCAAGCCAGACGGTATGCCACCCACGAGTTGGGAATATACATTATTGTTATTATTATTATGTACTGAGGACTAACAGGAACTTGCTCCACAGAAAATAGGGTTAGTAAGCATCGTGAATTAAGCAAACGTACGATCAATGATGAAGCATTCAGCAGGAGCGGAGAGATTTCGAAAGACAACAGCAAGTGTGCACTGGACGATGTACTAATATACATATACGGAAAATCTGACAATATGTGTTGGCCGTATTAAAAGATAGCGTCGTAGGAAATTAGTAAGTTTTAGATATAAGGGACTGTCTTCCGTTTGGCGGCGCGACGCGACGCGGCAGCTCAGGTCACGTTACAAGTCAGGTTGCGCGGTTTTTTCCGTCCAAAAAATTTTTGCCAAAGGCTAGTTGACAAGTGCGGTATATGGGTAATGCAAAAATAGACCCTTCTAGCGGTCACGTTGGTGTAGTGGACAGCGCGTCCGCCTGACGTTCGGGACTTCTGGACTTGATACCCGATCGGTCCGCTTTTCCGTCGGAACAGACGCTTGAAAATAGGTACAACTGAGACAAACTTGCGAGCAATGACGGGCGGGCAACAAAATATTGACATCAGTTACTGCAGAATAAACAGACCTTAGGTAGGAACGAAACAGAGGGAAAACGAGAAGCAAGGAAACAATACGCGGTCGTTATAAGCCGGCGTAAGTCACGTTACTCATGAGTAGTCAGGACAAAAGGAAAAATACCGCTGTTCACAGTTCATTCAAAGCAGGATTCAACATCTACCTTAACAGGAGTGTGTGGCAAAGAAATAAAAACAATAACGCCAGATTGGAGATACAACGATAAAAAATTCAAGTGAAACAGGCTGTCTTAGATTCGCTTTCTTTTAAATAGTTTGTCGTTGGCCCAGGTCAGCGAATAAAAGATAATCCCATCATGGTTTTCCGGGGGTCTTCTTTAGAACACTTCTCATTTATAATGCATTGCGAAGATGGTCTGAAGTGTTTTGATCACAGACTTAGCTAATGAAATTTGTGAATGACCCCTGTAAGGGCAAGCGAAATCAAGAGGAAAAGTCAAAACATGCCACCACGTTTGTCTTGGGCGCACAAGTACGCGTTTGTGTAGTTTTTCGTGTTCGAACAAAAAACGTTTGTGCAATTGACAAAATACGTAAGGTTATAATGGAAACAAAAGGAAAGAAGAACACACCGCAACTCGTTGCCTCGCGTTATCTTCATCCGGTCTGCTGCAAGGACGCATACAGAGAGGCGGACTAAAACCACCTCCGTCATTTTCCATGGCAAACATGAATAACCGCTGGAATAGCCTCTGATAGGAAATCTTGGCCTTATAGTGCCCATCGAGGCGAGAGGAGTGGCTAACCAGAAATTTTCCGTGCTCCGGCTCGCTGTTCTGCCCAGCATTGGAACAACCGGGGAGCCTTTCGTGTTTTCGGACACAGTGGACCATGGTTGTGAATTCTTAACTCCATTTGAATGCCCGTTTTCATTAGATTGTTACGAGCTTTCGAATCTGAAGTCATAGCCGAATTCGGGTGCTGGGCCAGTCAAAAAGATGCAACCGGAACAACGCTGTCCTTCATAATGTCCTGACGCTGAGGTCGAGTAATTCTCATAAATCACTTTTGCTTACCTTCATCTCGCAATGGGGTTGCAATCTCCACCAACATAAACTAATAAAAATTGTTCGAAATTCCAATATTCACTCTTTCTATTCTCAGCATTCAACAATCAAGTGTTTTATGGGCCACACGCGGGCAGTTGTCACAGATGTCTGCTTGCCACCATACAATGACCGGCTCCTTAAATGTGTTTATTCTCGCCGAATGGAAACGCTCGCTAAGGACGCTGAGATGAGGCGCGTTATTCTGATTCGTCTTTGAGATGTTTCGCGACGGCTTGGCGGTTTACGGCCCAACACCTACAGAACTACAAGGGCTGTTAGAGAGGTCGCAACAGTGCCGTAGAAAAATTCGTCTTCTGCAGGTAAGTTGCTGTGGTATTCTTCTAAACTAATGTATTTAAGGTACGCAATCAAGCCAAAAATGAGGCAAAGAATGTTCGCAGAAAATATCGATTGAGAAAGAAGGTTCTAGAAGAGAATGTTGCTAAGAAACTTCAGGTATCATAAAGAAGTGGGAATCTTATGTTTAGACTGCAATGGAGTCCCGGTTAAATGAAGTACTGGACGCAAAGGTCACAGAATACAGAAACTACTTAGATACTGTTGGTTTGGGCCATGCATCGGCATCTTTGTGGGTAAGCCGCAAATTTAGAAGACCTCTTGTTCTGTTTCCTATGGTTCTAGCTCCTTGTATATCTGCATTTTTAGCCGAAATTCCTCGATTTCAACAGTGCAATATGCTAAGACCGTTGTTTAGACCTGTCGCTAAGCTTGCTATCCTGGCGTATTAATTCAGAAAGATAGATGTAAGAGATAATCTTTCATCACAAAAAGCTGGGGGGCCGAAATTCCTGTGTGACACCCAGCTTGATTTTCGGGCTGATGCATCTCAGCGGTCGAACGAACAAACACCAGGCCACGTTCGCAGCGTTATTAATCCATAGGGTGATATTCGCTGCCATTTTAAGTAGTCCAACGTGGCCGGTCCTGGGCCTGTTCTTACGCCATGTTGTACCTGACAAAGCCAATAAATCAGTCGCCGCTATCAGAAAACATCTTGTCATTCAGCTGCGCTGGCCTAACAGAACCGCAGTGGCTGCCAAGCTGAGGCGAGTCGCGTGGGCCTCCCTCATACCATTTGCATAATCGTACCGCTCAGCAGCAGCACCTTTACGATGCCCAAATCCCATGCTACCGGAACGCAGCACGAGGGCTGAGATACTGCTAAGTTACCAAGGCCTTCACAGGGTAAGTCGAGAGGCCGAGGTCGGATCCGAACCACGGACCTTTCGGTCGGTAAATTTGCGTTCTAACCACTGAGGCATCTTGCCCCGGAATACGGATGTTGGATGGAATTCTTGTTGTCTGGGTAGTGTTGTGGTTGTAGCTCTTATACGATGAAACCAGCTTGATCAGAAAACTCGAATGGTCGCAACGTGTGGATTGTACTGACAGGGAAATTTGTGAGATGCAGAGTCGATTTGGAGGTGTTGAACTGGGAACGAAATAGAAATCTGGTACTTCCAATGTCATAGTATGTTTTCTATCTATTTAGGAAGTACCACGCCAATAAAGCGTACGTTGAGTTGATGGCATTATCCTTCTTGCCTCTGGAAAATGCAGCACGATCTGTCCTTTAATATTTAGTTGGTGAATCTGGTGATATTCCGCACGTCGAATGGTTTACTGCTTGACATCTCGCGGTTTGGTATACGAACTAATCAAATGCACGTGAGATATAATGGCTAACCATGATCACAAGAGCCTGGAATCATTTTTCATTCCGTTTATTTCACTCACACGTAGACAACATCAGAATGAACATTCGTCTCGTGAGCGTCGTTACACTGTATGCACATTCTACGGTTACACACCACTTTGTTTTGGGCTGTCCAACTGCACGTGAACCACAAGGAACGTTCGACTGCATATTTATCGCGTGATATCCTGTAGGGTGATCTCTGTCTTGGCTGCCGTCTAAGGGAGCTTCAGTGGATTCTGTTCACATCTTTTCTACTTACCTGTATCTGGATTCCACCTATTAAAGTATGCATGATGAAAAGGTTGGTGGGACTGGGGAGCAGGAGGGACTGCAGATGAAGGCGAAGGTAGTAAAATGTGGAAACTAAGGGCAGGTGAAGTTACTGCAGTCAGTATAACTTCGTGTTTGTCTCTTACCTTACGAATGGATCTAACGGACTTTCAACTTTCCATCCATCTGCATCTACATATTACGTCAGTGGAGTTTCAGTTGTCCACAAAGAGTATTTCGGGCTGATACGAGGGAATTTATCGTGGATCCGCACAGTCTTCTGTCATGATTTCCGGTTGCTTTGGTGGTCAAAGAATGTACCAAGTATCTACTCCAACTTACCATTTGCCATATGTCCGGTACGAACTCGATCAAAGCGACAATGGCAATAAGCTAAATGAACCCTTCAGCAGGTGTTGATATGCTCACGTCATTACTACTACCATCATACTCCAAACTTTCCTTCACTGATCAGATCCTTAAAATTTCCAACACGGTACTTTCTGAACTCGTGTTCTCCTCGTATTAACTAGTAAACCTGACTACAAAACCCAGACGGAATATACCATAAAAGAACTTGTGTGGCAGCTTCTTCTGTAGCTTCGTTTGCGTGGAGTACAAACGAGAAATTGTTAGGCGTCTGTCGAACAGGCTTATCACTATCCGATTTCCCAACACTTCATTCACACCTAAGGTTTAGTGGTCGGCTGTCTCCAATCAAGCACCATGGGTTATGTGAATCCTGGAAGTCAAAACGTGCCTCGTAGCATCACATACCCTTCTACTTAACAATTCTATCTAACATCTAGGATTCTAAATTCCTTAATTATACACAGAAATCAAAACTCGGTGGACGGCAACTGGACATGCTTGGGACGTTGCCAGTCACACTAGTTTACAGTGCTGAATGGACTTTATGAGTGGAGCGCTTTCTGCTTACTATCAGCCAACCAGCCCGGAATCCACATCGCCTTGAGTTACCTTTGGCAAGGGTCGATCACTGCTTGCCGATCCTTATGGAACACCAGCTTGGTCTCCGACCATGCACTGATTTTTTGTTGTCTTGGCACGTGAATACTTGACACGACCATCAAGTGGGATTTGGACCGGGTAGGGGCTGCCTTGACCGTATCTTCACATTTCGTCAGGTGTTAGAGCAACATTGTATGTGTATTTTGGTGTTCCTTGACTTCAAGGGTGCGTCCAATTCTGTCGACTAGTCAATACTTGCAACATACTTGCTCATACTCGCTCTGGGGCATACTATACTGCAGAAATTTGTGAACATAATCTGGTCCACATATTCACATATCGCCGGGTGTGTGAGAATGTATACTGGTATGTATTGGAATGTATAGTAGTCTCCGACAAGAACATCCACTCTCAGTTCTTTTTTATGAAACAGTAAGGCGAACATTAGAGTCTTCAAAACCCCAGTGTTCAAACCTTTGCTAGTGGGAAGCTTGTCGATCTGGAGGCGCAGACGTCATCGTCCTCATCTTTGAAGAGGCACAAGCTCTGTTGAATAAAATGACTACCATCATACCATCTTTCGGTGTGCGCTTTGTACCTTCAAAGTACAAAATCATGCTACGGAATGTGGAGCCTGCTTGAATAAATTTCTCACGCGCAAACAAGTATGTAATTGCAGAGAGTAATATTCACGAACTTCTGATGGTATGCCCTGTTGCATAAGTGTTAAGAATAAAGGACCTGTTGGCAGAATCGCCTCCTTCATGAAGTCAAACAATACCAGGATTTTGGGGTGCCTCTGCGCATATCAATGCTGTAACAACTGGCGGATGTGAAAATGTAGTTTATGAAACCGCTTCCCAACAGGAATCGCACTTCCGTTCTCGGGTCATTTCTTCACTTGTTCTCATGAGACGACTAGAATAAGCCAGTCTGGTTTCAACGAGGACCGGGCTACTTCTGATGAACCTTCGAAAAACTCAGCGGGAAACGCTGGAACAATCGGCAGTTAGTAATCCACACCACCCATAACTGATGCCGAAGTCGTTGTCCATTCGCGCGGGCATTACCTTGCGATAGGACCAGCCAGGTGGCCACGTTGTCTTAGTAGCTTCGGAATTTATTGCTCCACGGGAACAGTCTGTGATAAACACGCAATCAAAACACTAAAATTAAAGTAATCAAATTCAATTCAATTTATCAGTTATAAACCGTGCGCCAGAGACACATTGGTTCCAGTTGCCATAATTTCGATCGCCGAAAAACGAGAAAGTGGAACATGCGTCGTAAAGGCTGTATTTGAGTATTTAAGAGCTAAACTCTGTCATGAAGTAATCGGATAAGATGAACAGACAGCAATTATCGGCGCGTTCACGGGACACCCTCGTAGACGTTGCCAAACGAATCACACAACGGCGGCTATTAATGGGTAGCTACAGCTCGCCAGCTCGAACAACAATACCAGCAATAGAGCCAGCCGCAGCGGCTTCTGGATCACCGGAGGTGCGCAACCAGAAACAACAGGAAACCCATTGTGAACTCATTTCAAAAATCGTACATATTTCTTGAATTCTCGTTTCGGGGGGACAGCGTACAAGCAAGAGCATCCTGTTATCCAGCATATTTCAGACTGCTAGCATTTAAGCTGGCAGACTGAGCACTATCGTCATTCACACCATCACTAGGAGAGAATACCGGAGAACACAATCGTAATACCATGTCATTTTGTTTGGAGAATAACCTTATTCCGGAAAAGAAAAATTAATGGGAGGGGGACCTAGGGTTAGGGTACCAAACCCACCCCAATTGTTTGCACATCCAACACCCGATCAGAAAATCCTGGTGATAACTAACAGCACAGACGTCACTGACATCGGTTGACCGCAACACCGTTGAATTTCCCCAACCGGACACGTAGGTGCCATGCAGGCCTCATCCTGGAAAGCGAACAGGACCAACGGTGCCCTCCAATTCGGATTCTGTCCACCTCTAAATTTGTGCCACTCCGAATTAGGCTCTAGAAACCGCTTTTTCACTTCTACCTTGATATACCGTAACCTTTTGGAGAGAACTGATTATGAGAGAAAAAAACGCTCAGCTGTGACGCCATTTCGGTGCTTAACTGCAACACCACCCAATTGAAGCACGAGGGCGGAGATACTGCCAGATTACCCAAACCTAGCCAGGAGCAGCGATCGGGTCCGATTCACAGACTGTCCGGTCAGTAGGTTTGTGCCTTAGCCACTGTGCTACCGCTGGCTCGGCTTTGAGTAGGCAGGTTGCGCTCTCGGCATACTGAGGTACGCGAACGGAAGGGAGCGGCTTCGTGTCAGCAACAATAACACATTACAAGCAGAACTTTACTCGGCGGCGAGTGCTATTTTTGGGGCTGCCAGCTAGGGGGGGACGTGGCAATAGGGTATATTTCCTTCTAAGTGGAAATGATAGTGCGAACGTAGTGCGAGGAGGGTATACCTTCGAAATGGCAAGGCATCCCAAGAGAAGGCACTAAAAAGGATGTTCTGAACAGGAGCTAAGTGTCAGCTGTGGATCCCCTTGGACCAACTAAATATCAGCTACCGGAGCAGAGTCATGGTTCAAGATTGTCGTTCCTTCTGGGGCGCACAACTT